GTCAAGGAGCTGAGCATGTTGGCCTGCGAGAAGCTGAAAAGAACGGAGCATAATAAGAACAGATGGAAGAACCAGGGAAGACATGACTAAATTTTATTCTATACTCAGACTAGACACAACAAACTAACAAACAGATTCAAATGCTAGGATCAGGAAAGTTTAATGTTGCAGTTTTAGGTCGGTCAGGAAGTAGAATGTCTCGACTGAGGTACATACTGGATACAAAACTCGTGAAACAAAGAGTATGTGGTTAAGTCTGGACAGGAGCTGAGACTAGCCCCTCTAACCATGAATAAATAAATAAGAATAGGTGGGGACGTTTAAACACTCTCTCTCTCTCCCTCCCTATCTCTCTGTCTCTGTCTCTGTCTCTGTCTCTGTCTGTGCCTGTCTCTCTCTCTCTCTCTCTCTCTCTCTCTCTCTCTCTCTCTCTCTCTCTCTCTCTCTCTCTCTTCTCTCTCTCTCTCTCTCTCTCTCTCTCTCTCTCTCTCTCTCTCTCTCTCTCTCTCCTCTCTCTCTTTCTGTCTTCTGTCTCTCTTCTCTCTGTCTCTCTCTCTCGTCTGTCTGTCTGTCTCTCTCTCTCTCTCTCTCTCTTCTCTCTCTTCTTCTCTCTCTCTCTCTCTCTTCTCTCTCTCTCTCTCTCTCTCCTCTCTCTCTCCTCTCTCTCTCCTCCTCTCCTCTCCTCTCTCTCCTCCTCTCTCTCTCTCTCTTCTATCTATCTATCTTTCTAACTCCCTCCCTCCTCACAACGTGAATGGATAGTTAGGAGCCATGTGTGGCGAAAGTCTACGGTACTGTGCACCCAGATTTCAATTACCTTTTAAATCGTTGCCCCTATTCTTATATCAGACGGATCAGTAATAATACTCTAATGTAATTCAGTGAAGTCTTAGACGTCCCTTATTGAGCTGACTGTTTTTATTGCTGAAGATCGAAAGCAAATGTAGCCAAAATTTTGAAGAATGTAAAATATGTTCCATGTAGTATAAGGGAGTGTGAATCGAATATCACAGAGTGTGTATATATCCACCTCTAGTGGACTAAAATTATTGGTTGAAGACATTTAAAGGAGAAAAGGGTGAATCGTGAGTGTAGTTCATTGTGGGTCGAGGACAGTGTTGGGTGAGTGCATTGTTGTTCGGGGAAACTGTTGATTGAGTTCAGTGAATTTCATTTTATTTGGACTGCATAATTGGATGTGGGCTGTTATGGATTTAAGGAGTCGTTATGAGTGCCTGAAAGTCAATGCCTTGAAGGAGGGGTGCCATGATGGTCAATGCCTTGAAGGTGGAGTGCTATAAAGACCAGTGCCTGGAAGGAAGAGTGTCATGAATGTCAGTGCCTTGAGGGAGGTTATATTTATTGGTGAGTTAATAATCACATGGACTTGTCTCTTAGTAGCGAGACGGCACGAGTGACGGTCCGCTCCTACATGTCAACAAACAGGTGGTCACTAAGAGATAAGACAAAAATATTCGTGATCTCTCTCTCTCTCTCTCTCTCTCTCTCTCTCTCTCTCTCTCTCTCTCTCTCTCTCTCTCTCTCTCTCTCTCTCTCTCTCTCTCTCTCTCTCTCTCTCTCTCTCTCTCTCTCTCTCTCTCTCTCCTCTCTCCTCTCTCTCTCTCTCTCTCTCTCTATCTCTCTCTCTCCCATAAGATTTTAAATCTTATATCCTCAAAACACATCAGTTATATCATGCGGTAAATTAATATGAACTGTAATAAAAAAATCTACGGTGTTTACAATCCATTTTCATTATTCCTTAAATTTTCGCTTCACAAGCCAAACCAGCATGCATGTATGTATACGTATGTATATATATATATATATATATATATATATATATATATATATATATATATATATATATATATATATATATATATATATATATATATATATTATATCTTTCTTTCTTTCAACACTCCAGCCATATCCCACCGAGGCAGGGTGGCCCAAAAAGAAAAAGAAAAGTTTCTCCTTTCACATTTAGTAACATATACAGGAGAAGGGGTTACTAGCCCCTTGCTCCCGGTATTTTAGTCGCCTCTTACAACACGCATGACTTAAGGAGGAAGAATTCTGTTCTACTTCCCCATGGAGATAAGAGGAAATAAACAAGAACAAGAACTAGAAAGAAAATAGAAGAAAACCCAGAGAGGTGTGTATATATATGCTTGTACGTGTATGTGTAGTGTGACCTAAGTGTAAGTAGAAGTAGCAAGACGTACCTGAAATCTTGCATGTTTATGAGACAGAAAAAGGGACACCAGCAATCCTACCATCATGTAAAACAATTACAGGCTTTTGTTTTACACTCACTTGGCAGGACGGTAGTACCTCCCTGGGTGGTTGCTGTCTACCAACCTACTACCTTGGATATATATATATATATATATATATATATATATATATATATATATATATATATATATATATATATACATTCATTCTCTTATCGCTCACTCGAGCGATAAGAAAATGTAAGGAAGCAGAGGACGACGACATCACATCATGAGTTCAAAAACTGTCACTACCATAACAGCGCGGTACATGAAAGAAAAATACAAAATTATTCATTATAAGAGAAGACAAGACTTTGAAATTTCTCTGTAATGCTCATATTCTTTATAGAATCTAAACTGTAAAGTTTTTTTTTTTTACACTAACGATCATTTTTACAGCATCTGAAACGCTATACCGGGAGAATGTACAGGGAATCTTTCGCTAACCGAAACAAGTCCGCAACACAAAAGTTATTGGGAATGCTTGAAGACGCTTGATATTTTTCCTCCTGGAGGACAGATGCGAAGAACGCATCATAATTTACACCTACAATTTCTGAATAGACTGGGTCCAAATCTACACACTGAAATTTGTCTTTATGAGAGCGGTCGTCGTGGTTAACAGGTCAAAAGACCCCCACTGAAAACGGGTACAACAAGTACACTAATATGCAGATCAGCATAAAGGATTTAAGGTTATATCCACAAATTTCTTCATGCACTTCCTGATCAGCAGGACTGTGATGCCTACGCTAGACTCTGGGAAAGTGGACGCCAACATTCTCTCTGACAAGCCCAACAGGTCTGGTCTGAGACTGAGCCACGAGGGCGTTGATCCTTGAGACCTTAAGCAGGTAAACAGGTAATTCTCATACTCATACTGATAGATGAAGTGCTTCCTGAGCCTAACGTCACTCAGCCCACCTTTCCTCACAGTCAAGCTATACTATAGCCTCTCCACTCTTGTAACCACACCACGCTAGTAGTCACACCACACCTGTAGCTACACTATGCATGTGGCCACACCACGCCTATAACCCCACCATGCCTGTAACCACACTACACCAGTAGCCACACCACACATGTAGCCACATCACGCCTGTAGCCACACCACGTCTGGAACCACCACGCCTCAACCACAATGCGCCTATGGCCACACCACACCTATAGCCACATCTTACCCATAGCCAAGGTATTTCGTTACCAGCCTACTCAGTCAGCCTCCACCCATGGCTAGTCTATCGCCCTAGACAAAGCCATCCCACAACCCAACCACGCACAAAGGCTTCTCACGCACAGCGTCTAACCACGCTTGCAGCCTAACAAAGCTTATAGCCCAGCAACACCCACAGCATAAGTATGGCCGCACCACTACTATGCCCACAATCTAACTACACCCACAGCATAACTATGCCTCCATAAAAATCCCTGCACACGCAGAACTACATCTGGCCTCAATATCACTTAAATCTTGTGAAAAAGCATTAGTCTTCAGGATCCATCTCAGAATCCCTGGAAGGCTACTGGGTGACCTCCTCCGCGCATTTAATTCTCCTAAGCTTAGGGAGTTGGCTCATGAGGTGATTCGATCCCTCAATCACAGTCATGAGCGAAGAAGATTGCTTCGCCGGAAAACGCTTCAGGAAGAGATGTGTATATATATATATATATATATATATATATATATATATATATATATATATATATATATATATATATATATATATATATATATATATATATATTACAAATAGGCACTAAACCCTTTTGGATCAGTCCTTTTTTTACCAGTCTGTTTTTTACCCTCTTCCTGCAGATATGGGCCAGTAGGCCTTCTACAGTGTTCCTCCACTGTTATGCTCGTGCCTTGGGGAGATATTAGTATATACGAATGTGATCGTTGGGAGTGGATGGCGCACGTCATATATTTTTCAGATGCTCGTTTGTCTTCGTTGTAGTGAGCTAAAAAAAAATCCTTTTTTGATGTATATCATTTATTACAAGCGAAATTTCTTCGCAATTTTTACTATTAGCAAAATTTCATTAATTCGACAGATACTGCTATTTTATTCTTTTTTAATTGTTTAATAACTTTTAAATGAAATGAGGAGGAAAAAAGTTGGTATACAACTAATGGAAAAGTCAGAAAATTTTTCAGAGAAAAAATTGGCGCGTTGCTAACGAGACTTGTTGTGGTAGTGAAGGTTCCGGCCACCAGTACTGTTGTGGTAGTGAAGGTTCCGGCCACCAGTACTGTGGTAAACAACACCAGGTTGTTTCCTTTATATTCCTGATACTAAGTTGTTACAACAAGATTTCTGCTTTTCAAGATGAAACTACTAGAAATACACTTCACACGTTATTATATGGAAGTGTCTTCAGTACTAGTGCCTTTAAATAGTACACTCAGGCTTATTAGAGAATTATACATGACTAAAGTAAAAAAAAAATCTTTTTATTGTTACATGTTGAAAATGCCGTTCTAAGACGGTTCTCTATACACACATAAAAGCGACGTCATACTAATTGTACATTTAAATTAGTTAAACGCACAAAAAATGGTATATAATAACAGTTATTTTAAGCTCGTTAACTAGTTTCATGGTAACACACAGATAATGTAATTAAATGTCGAATTATACTGAATCATTTGAGGGGATTCTCAAAGTAAGAAAATAGTTAAATTCAAGATATTTACAGAGTGTATATTCTTACCAGGCTTCACATTCTCTCTACACCGAGGCTGGAGTGAGGAGCTTCCTGCCAGAGGTGTAGTGAAGTCTCCTCATCATGGAACCCAAGACGAGGCTCCTCCTTTCCTCCAGTCTTCACACGTTCACGATTGCGTCACTGCTTCAGCTCATCTGTTGTCTCCGATTGAGCAATTTTTAAGTAATGTTCTCGAGGAATATATCCAGTTTGAATTTTTTCATGAAGAAAACAGCATATGTGTGTGTGTGTGTGTGTGTGTGTGTGTGTGTGTGTGTGTGTGTGTGTGTGTGTGTGTGTGTGTGTGTGTGTGTGTGTGTGTGTGTGTGTGTGTGTTGGTGTTTGTGTGTGTATGTGTTTGTGTGCGTGTGTTTGTGTGACAGTTTATCAGTGGTGGATGTGATGGCCTTTTAATTTCAATTTCTTAAAATCGTCCTGTCAGCCTTCACTCAATTTCTTTTTCTCACGTAGTAAAAGATAATCTGTAGAGTCAACTCGCTGGGCTAGTCAGAGAAACGACTCATAAATAGGCGGAGAACTGTAGTAGGGAAGGGGGACATGGCCGGGGGTAAGAGTGTAGTGTAAGTTGAGCCGGCAGCAGCAGCAGCAACACAACCAACACGAGGCAGCAGCAAGGGCCTCTCTCTGCCTCCACACCGTCACCTCCAACGTCCCAACCACCACTGACTCCCCTCCTCTTCCCTCATCCCTCAGCTTCCACTGGTCCCCCATCTCACCCTCGCTTTCCCCACCGCTGGCCGCCACCACCCCCACCTCCACCACCCAGTCACTAACCACCACCGCCCACCGCCCACACCACCACCCTCCGCCACAACCCTCACCATCACTCCCACCAACACTCTTACCACCACCAGGAACGCCCACACCACCCCAACCGCCGCCCTCACCACCCCTTCCCTTCCTGCGAACAGTGGCCCCATCTCCATCATTGAGCTTATCCTCAGCCTGAATGACTTTCACCGTCTTTACCACCAATGTACCACCATCGTGGATGTGTATGTATGTATGTATGTATGTATGTACGTATGTGTGTGTGTGTGTGTGTGTGTGTGTGTGTGTGTGTGTGTGTGTGTGTGTGTGTGTGTGTGTGCGTGTGTGTGTGTGTGTGTGTGTGCGTGTGTGCACGCATTAAATTAACTATCAGTAATACCTAACCTAGTTACTGTAGCAGAAGTATGCTGGTCGTTCTCCACGTATATCTTCCACAATCTTCCAGTGGTTGTAGTCATCACCACATAGCTCCTCGTGGAGCCACTCTAGCGGTCTACCATTATTAATGATGAATTTTGTTTTCCTAATATGATTTTCAAACCGTTTATTTTCCCTACCTTACAATTGTGTCCACTTGTTAACTTTGCTTAAGGTCTTAATATTCTTTGTTTCACAGAATTCTTTTCCCTTTTAAGTGTCTATCATTACTCTCATCGTCACATCAACCAACTACTGCGGCGTTTTCATTATTTTTCAGTATTTCTTCGTAACTCATTTTTCTTAATTGCCGGAGAAAATCTGCAGAATATCTTTGAACTTTTCTCCGTTTTCCTCTACTCATTTTCTCGGCGCAGACACCTCCCTACTACTGATGCTTTTTCCAATATTGATATATTGTTTTTTTAGTATTTGATCATTCATATATCTGAAGACCATATTGAATTTTGTCAGTGTATCAAAATGAATTTCTTTCATAACATTTATGTTTTCTTACCTACGTGTATCTTCTAAGTTAAATTCTAGATCTTGAGCCCGGCCTTTGGACTGCTTCCGTGACTTACTCTAAGCTTGTTTAGAATCTCTCATTTCTGAAGTGGTCATGTGATATTAGTTAATTATTCTTGTTTAACAGTGGTTTTTATCACTTCAGAGGAACTTTATAACTGGTACCCTATAGAATTCCACACTTTATACATCAGATTCTCTTTACAGATTCACGGATAAGAAAATCGAATAAATTCTCTCACTATATCATGGATATTATGACAGTTCCTTTACAGGAGTATATTCTCTACAAACTAAAGTGGCAAGATCCACCACTCAACTGACTAGTGAAGCTCATTGAAACAGGTTATATACCTTCCTCTCAAACACACTGAAACAGGTTACACCCACCTCTCAAACACGCTGAAACAGGTTACACCCACCTCTCAAACACGCTGAAACAGGAGGAGGTGGTTGGGTAATGTTGGGGTGGGGGTGCCCCTACTGTTTATTGGGGAAGCAGCAAATCTGCATGGGTCATGAAGTGCCTGGGGAATTTGAGGTAGTCAGGTTTGATCTAATGAAGAGGAGGATTACTCCAGTTCCATTGATCAAGAGCCCTTCACCTGCAACAAGGCACCTTGAGAGGCTAAGAATTAACTTCGTCATGGGTTTGAACTCCATCTGTTGTGTGATGAATCTTCAGTTCAGTCTCTCGTCACCTGACACGTTCAGAAAGCCAGGTTATAGGTCGCCTGGAGATAAAGGCCGGGTTAAAGGTCACTTGAAGATGAAGGTCAAAGTTTCACGTGGGGATTATTAATTACATTAAAGGGGAAGCGCTAAACTCGTAGGGGGTCATGTAGTGCCTGGGGAATGGGGGGTAAGCAAGTTCAGTGTGAGGAAGCGGAAGCCAAATCCAATTCCTTGGATTAAGAGCCCCGCCAGCATCAAGGAACCGTCCTCGAGAGATCAGGTGTGAATGACGGTCAGGTATGGGTGATGGTCAGGTGGGATGAAAATCAGGTCAAAGGTCAGGTATGCCTGAAGGTCAGGTGGGATGAAGATCAGGTCAAAGGTCAGTTACTGGTGAAGGTCAAGTGGGGATGAAGGTCAGATGGGGATCAAGCAGCTGTCTCTAGCAGTACGTAATAGTTTCCTGTCATTATCGTGGCGGCTTCTGTAAGGCAAATTATAGTGACTATTGATCTCCATTCCTAGGTCGATCCTCACTATCCACAGGACGACCATCCCTGGACGACCCTCCCCTGGACGACCATCCCAGTGACGATCATCCCACAGACGACCATCCTGCAGACGACCATCCCGCAGACGACCATCCCGCAGACGCCCATCCCGCAGACGACCATCCCGCAGACGACCATCCCGCAAATGACCATCCCGGGACAACCATGCCACAGACGACCATCGCGCAGACGACCATCCCGGGACGACCATCCCGCAGACGACCATCCCGGAGACGACCATCCCGCAGACGACCATCCCCTGGACGACCATCCCAGTGACGACCATCCTGCAGACGACCATCCCGGAGACGACCATCTCGGAGACGACCAGACAGGATATATAGTACTACTAAGTTCCTCTGAATCAAATTTTGTAGTGGGTCTGAGACCAGACCAGAGCTCCCGTAAGGTCCTTCAGAGCCTGAGATGTTTTCTTGTTAACTGGCCTAAGACAATTTCATTTCAATATTATTATTATTTAGTAAGAAGAGCCTAAGGGCATTGTAGGATCGAGCCAAGGGAGAGGAGGTCATGTCTAGTTCCTCGGATCAAGAGCCCTTTACCGGCACCAAGGAAATTTTAGAGAGCGATCGTTTTGCATATTAATATGTCAGTTTGAAGTCAGCTTGACTACGAGATTTTTTTTTTTTTTGCGTTGTCTCCTTAGTTTTTTCTATGATATGTAAATTACTACATAAATGACCTATGAGAATCCTACTAAGACCGAAAAAAAATCTATAAAAACTGTTTTATTGTGTTTTTTAACCACGTTGTTCAAAGGGTCAGATGTCTAACACATTCTCCTAAGGTATGCTTATACGCATTCATTTCAGTATAACAATGTCTGTGCATATACATTTCCAGGTAATATAGATGCATCTCCACCTATCCCGATAACAGCTGTCTGTACACGGTCATTCTTACATAATATAATCCTCTATACCCGTGTGCAGATAATATATACCAGGACCCACATGCGTGTCTAGCCCAGAAGATTACAAACTTGTAATGTACTTTGAAGTTTCTCCAAGATCATGTTTCCTCAATCATCCAAATTTACTGAGGAAAATGTGTACACATATCTTACATAGTTTCAGTATTTTTTACGAATATAAAAATTGCCTTCACAATTGCCCTGCATTAAATTCGTGTATCTGGTACTCAGATGTGTATTATTCCGTGAATATGAGCACATGTGCAGCGATTAGATGCAATTCTGCGTCTGTGAGCACATGTGAAGCGTTTGGGTATATAACAGTGTATGTGAACACACGTGAAGTAGCTAGGTGTCGCCCTGCCTACATGAACTTCACTGTGTCGAGGAGAGGGAAGAAAAAGATGTTTTCAATCTTATAATCTTCAATACCCTCCGTGACTTGTCTTCTGTTCTGAAGAAGTTCAGTCACTCGCTAAGTGTTGCTTCACATTTTCACTGTAACTGTACTCACAACATTCCCTGCAATGTTTGATAACATCAACATTGTCCATCACTACTGTACAGTAAACACTACATGACTCTTGTAGGTTTAACGTTTACCTTTAACTGATTGATTGTACAGTAAACAGCAATTTCCACCTGTACGATGGATTGTAATAAAGTTGGTAGAATTACCGACAATATGTGAAGTAAAAGGACACAAGTGCAACTAATGTGACATTTTATTGTAGCAACGTTTCGCTCTCCAGGAGCTTTATCAAGCCTGGAGAGCTTAAAATGTCACATTAGTTGCACTTGTGTCCTTTTACTGTACGATGGATGGAGAAAATGACCATCAAAAATTATATATCACACAATCATTGCCTATATTAATTACGAAATTACTCATAGAACGTTATCATCAACAATGTCGTCAATGACAATAATTGCAATGAAAATGTAAAATTAATCCCCCCCCTCCCCCCATCAAAAAAAAAAATGTCAACACTGATCCAGCGACGTTATCGCCACTTGTATGCCTCTGAAATGACCTATACTAAAAAAAATAGAAAGAAGCCCAGCGTGTGTAAGGTGACGTGGCAGCGGCGGAGACTGCAACCGGAGGATCGAGTCCTGACCACCAAGGTTTACCTTCCCAAGAAGAGCTGTATATGACCCTTTAGGATTTACAGCTTAAATTGATTATAATAACAAATTAATAATAATAATAATAATAATCTACTTTTCCGTGAAGTAGGCAGACACACTACCTTCATGCCACTGAGCAGCAGGCAGACACACAACCTTCATGCCACTGAGCAGCAGGCAGACACACAACCTTCATGCCACTGAGCAGCAGGCAGACACACAACCTTCATGCCACTGAGCAGCAGGCAGACACACTACCTTCATGCCACTGAGCAGCAGGCAGACACACAACCTTCATGCCACTGAGCAGCAGGCAGACACACAACCTTCATGCCACTGAGCAGCAGGCAACACACTACCTTCATGCCACTGAGCAGCAGGCAGACACACAACCTTCATGCCACTGAGGCAGCAGGCAGACACACAACCTTCATGCCACTGAGCAGCAGGCAGACACACAACCTTCATCCCACTGAGCAGCAGGCAGACACACCAACCTTCATGCCACTGAGACAGGCAGAAACAAACTTCATGCCACAAAGCAAGCAGACCACAACCTTCATCCCACAGCAGCGGGGCAGACACACAACCTTCATCCCACTGACAGGAGGCAGACACAAAACCCTTTCATCCACAAGCCAGCAGCAACACACAAACCTTCAGCCACGAGCAGCAGGAACACACCCCTCATGCCACTGAGCAGCGGGCCCAGACCACCCCTTTCACCACTGGCACGGGCAGACACACAACCCTTCATGCCACTAGCAGCGGGCAACACACACCTTATGCCACTAGCAGCGGCAACACACTACCTTCATGCCACGAGCACACAGACACACTCCCTTCAGCCACGGGAGCAGCAGCAACACACACCTTCGCCACTGACACAGGCAAAACACAAAACCTTCATCCCACTGA